TATATAGAATTCATTTTATTTTTATCCTACATACTGTATGTACTACTGGCATTCAATTAAAACAGACACAATAATTACAAAATATCAAATTCTTTATTTAAAACATTGCATGTATAACACTTAAAATTACATTCTTCCAATGCTGGAACAGTTAATCTTCACCATTTCTCCTGTCTTAGGACATTTTGCAGTGCATTATGTTGTATTCTCTGGATTTATCCTCACACATAATCTTTAGGCAACAGAAACAAAATGGGAAAAGAAATACATAGCATAATTCTGCAAAACCCAGGTGCAACTCCAAAACGTGGCCACCACCTTTGCTCACCATCCACTTTGTTAGTGAGTCAGAAATGTGTTCCCTGAAAAACAAGAAGTAGAAATGACACACTTTTAAAGGCAAACCCCATACACAATACACAAACCTCTCAAAACCATAACTTATTTGTTCTCTTACCTGAATTATCAGTCTCAGGGTGGTTGGCATGCTCATGTCTTTCTTGATGCTTCATTGCAGTTGCCTTTAAAACACAAATACAGTAAAACAAATGCAGTAAAACTTAAATTCCATTAAAAACTATAACAAACTAATTCTAAAACTAAGGCAGATAGCCATAAAACTAGTTTAACCTTGCTAACATATGGTTTTATTTTCTCAATAGGCTACTGGCCAACATTAACTAACACCTGAACAAAATTTCACATTAGTTAACTTAATGTTAATATAAGATAGCTCGTCAAAAATCATTTTAATTTGGTACAGGATCAGCTATAATGTGAAAAACAACATGAATTAGAGATTATAGCTAATAGCTGAATGAATATGCTTAGTAAAATAATACTTTAATGGCACTTGTGTGTGTGTGTTAGTTATACATTTTATATTATATATACACTGTTAGACATTTCAAAGGGTTTTTACAGTAACTTACTGGCAATACTGGCAGCTGCCCCGTGGGTTCGTGTCTTCCTCGGATGCGAGCGGCACGACGCGACGCGACAAAAGACAATATAGAACCCATTATAATCCGCGATACTATCTACAATGGATGCGGACAGTAAACTGATGCCCCGGTATATTTCTGACGTTCAGAAGCACTACAAGCGCTCGCGCTGCTGATAAGAAGGGCAAATGTATTTGCCAATCATTACAAGCGATGTAACAAGTCCAGTATAGTCTGTCCCAAACTGTTGCGGCGTTGTAGACACGGTGCAGGGCAAATCTTGTCAATCCAAACGTAAGAAATGAGGAAAATAAAACAACCTCAATGGAATGGCGTTTAAAAAAATACAGTAAGTTTCTGTATGTGGAGTTTGACGTCACAGAAAATTCCCATGATGCAAAGGGTATTACAGTTGCTTACTGTAAAGGGAATTTGCAGTATTATACTGGGTGATATACAGTTAAAAAAAAACTGTAGAAATTACAGAAATGTCTAACAGTGTTGAATTTTAGGGACATTCTAAAATGTTCTCTAGGCTCCATCACGCACTGAGTTGTTGCCCTGCCTCATATTTGTCATCAATCAACTGTATGAAATGTCAGATGACCCACAGGTCTGGGGCGGGCCAAGTGCGTTAAATGCGTTAATAATTTTAATGCGTTATTTTTTACATAATTAATTTATGTAATTAACGCATTAAATTACCAGCCCTAATTTTTTATATGATATAAATTATATGAATATAAATATATGCATGTAAATATTTTCAAAATATATACTGTGTTTGTATTTATATATACATAATAAATATACACAGTACACACACATATATTATGTGAACGAAAACTTAATTTGGATGTGATTAATTGCGATTATTAGTTTGACAGCACTAATATATATATATATATATATGTATGTATGTATGAAGAGTTCAGATGCAAAAGCCTCTAAGTGCCATCTGAAATTTTCATCTAAAATAAGCATTTTTATCAGGCTCCTATGTTTAGGTTCAGTAAATGTATTCTTATGGTAATGGCTTATGGTTATGGTCCTTTTCTATGCAATTAAAGTGAAATAACTAAACATAAATATAGGAGTCTGTGATGGCCCACGATGCGGCCACACATCAGTGAGCGGTAATACGTGCATATTTACACACACATACACCTATTACACGTATGGGTAAGCATTGATTTTACCTGCTTATTCTCACGGTTTATCGTTGCATTTGTTTAATGATTTTTCACATGATATTGAGTAAGAAGACAGACTTCATTCTTTTGCTCATGTAGAATGTTTATTAAATATCGGTACATGTTGGCTAGTTGGAGTGCACACAGTTTAGTTCGCTGTGCTGTATATTTCGGTTAATATTGATTTTTTTTAGTTTAAGTTACCGTGGTGTGGGCTGTGTGGAGAATAGCCGAGGTTTCCGAGCTTCCGTCGCGGGGTGCGTCCGCCTAAAGGACCGGCGTGCTGTTTCCACCACTCTAGTTCCGTTGGCTGGGGTTCCAATGGACAGATGAATTGGAGGGAGGATTGAGTTGTCTAAATGGGCATTGTTTTCTTATGTTTCACTTCCTTAATGGAATTTTGGTTTAGACTTCTTTTCAAGATTTATATTTAATCTTTAATTCAACTATTTAAATAGTTTGATATTTGTTTGTTGTTGTATTGTTTTCTTATGTTTCACTTCCTTAATGGAATTTTGGTTTAGACTTCTTTTCAAGATTTATATTTAATCTTTAATTCAACTATTTAAATAGTTGATATTTGTTTGTTGTTGTTGTATGTTGTAGTTATTTTTTGTTTCCCCCTCTTGTGTGGAACATGGGCTAGTCCAGTTGTATAAATGTGTTCTTATGGTGTCATTTGTTAGGTCAGTTCAGTTTGTTTGTCATGCCCTCAGTTATCTTGAGTTCAGTTTTGTTCTGTTGACCTCTTTTATAGGCCTAAGTCAGTTTATTTGATTTCTTTGAATTTTGATTTTCTGCTTTAAACTTGTGAAGGTTTGTTTTGATTCATTAAAAAGATTATTTGTTTGGGAAGCTCGTTTTTCCTATGCCTACTATTTTTTTGACTGCTGGGTCCCTTACAGAGTCTGATAAAAATGCTCATTTTAGAAGAAAATTATATATATATATATATACATACACACATTTACATATACATAATATTTAACATATATTTATAGGGTAGAGAGGGGTGAATTGAACCTGTGTGGAAGTTGAGACATCCTTTGTTTCTAGACAACCATAAACAAAATTGGTGATATGATCACACATAGTTGAACAGTTAACAATTTTACTAACCCTGTGATGGAGAGAGGCCCATTGAATAATTGGTTACTACGTTTAAGTTAAAATAAATAAAATTAAATTAAAAAATGTTGCTGTTCAAACTGATTTTTGTATGTTTTGTATGACTCATTCTTCTTGTGTCTGAACAATTACAGACAAATTTGACAAAAAATATCACACATGTTTGTACTTTAGAAAGTTCAAATATGAGGCTACTCTCAGCATGATGTTTTCTCTAAACTGCTGAATGATACAAGTTTGTTAAAATGGTAGGAGTGGGGTAATTTGAGCCGAAAGTCCTGGGGTTGAGCCAGTGTACATGTAATTCTACATGATATTTCATTAATTTTAGACTAAACATGTTTGATTTTGCTCTTTGTTGTAGCATTTGGACCAATCAGACACACATTTGTTCATTAGATTTAACAAATAAATTATTCATTAGATTAACAAACATTCACAGACCCCTCACCCCAATAAACATACTGGGTGCCAAGATGTCTGTGAACGAATTTCAGCCTTTCTCATTGGACAAGCCCATCCTGAGAGGCGTGAATCTTCTCAGACCTTAAAAAGCTTCCGTACAGTTCCGCCCATGTGTTGTTGCTTTCTTCTGCTAAGTCTTCTGCTAAAACCTTCTGATCGCGGCCCGTGTGGAGAGCCGTGCGGGCGTGCCCGGGGTGCTCCAACACATAGCCAGTCAGTCTGCGGCTCTGTTAGATTCTGAGAAGATGAGGATGTGAGCTAGCACCCCTCTAAGGACACCCTAAGTCCCAAACCTTGTTAATAAAACATAATTAAGTGGGTTGTCGAGTACTATTAACCCAGTCCTGTGAGTTTCTTTTTTTAATTCTTCAATTTGATCTTTATTTTGTTCTGAAATTTTAAAATAATTGTAAAAGATGCCTTAAAAGTCAACCTAGTGTCTTGAGCCACAGGCAGGAAAACTCGCTGGATGAGTGGCCAGTCCATCACAAGGCTCACAGATTTTACGAAGTCATATTTATTGAATTTCTCTTCCTTTGATATAGCATGAGATGAAAATGTTCCGTTTTACTTAAGCATAATCAGTGGCATAGTTTAACCTCATCTGGCTGAACTTCTCCCTAGGCTCAATTTACCCCTCTCTGGGGGCAAGTTGAGCCAAGAGACCCTTTTTTTTTTTTTTTTTAAAACATAATTTTAAAACAGTTTTTTTTATATCCAAATTTTTTTTTTTTTTTGAAAACCATATTTTTAAAGCAGTTTATTTTATATCCAAAGTGATTATTCCCAAGGATGCACCAATTTGAAAATGAAATTTATGTACATATTTAAGTTGGACCCATTGCTGTCATGTGCTCACTTTAAACAAACTGTAAGTAAAAACTGGATCAACTCACCCCACTTTCCCATATGTTTTTGTAATGAATCTTTTAAATTCATGTCAATTTTTCAGATTTACTTATATCAATACATCAACATGAATTGATGGGTTTTAGGATGGATATACTGTACATGTACATGACATATACAGTATGTCCAAAAATGTATTACACATACTGTACATAAACATACATATTTGTATGGGCTTGATATGTTAATATGAAATTCTAATAATATCTAATATATATTTTTGCTTCATATGACAATATATTTCATATATGGAAAATGTAACTGAACCCACATATATTACATTTATGTATGGCTTGGAATGACTGGATTTCACATACAAAATTTCACAGAGCAACAGTAAATGTGACCGCACCTTTAGATGTTGCTGCTGATTTGCACTAGATTTACTCTGGGGGATCAATAAAGTCTCTCTCTAGTAACTATGAACATACAGTGGCTAAGTGGTGCTGCACAAGAGCTTGAATATAAAATGTCAGCCAAACATTTATGAGACCATAATTGACAGCAGCAAGAGTGCATGCAGCTTGGCATTTGCACATATTTGTGGCAGCAGCCTCAGACTGAACTATTATAGCAATTTGAGTACCCTTTGACTCTAATTAACTCCAGGACAAATAAAATAAAAGTGCAAAGATTTGCAGCGAAATTGAGGGAGCCATCCTCGGCTCTTCTGTTCTAGTCACACTTCATACCAGCAAAACCCTTCAGATCAACCAGAGATTAAGGAAAATGCCAGCTGTTAAAGATTATTTTAATCTACTATTCTTTCTCTCTATCCATCCCATCTGCACACATTCTCCGATTCTGAATCCCAGTTGTGCCCTTGATGTCATACCGTGGCAAGGCCAAAGGTGCTCAGTGATTTCTAAACGTGGCAGCTACAGGACACACTCAATTACCATTGGCTATCTCCGAGACTTGACAGTACAAAGCCACCGTGGTTACTCGCCGAGAAACAAAACACTCTGGCAATTCCATTAGCATGCTGGGTGCTTGCCAGCAACTCTCTGCATTATGTTCCATGGTAGACAAATTGGCAGTCAAAATGGTGTTGTGAAGGGGGCTAATTGCTTGAGTGCAGGGTTAGCCTGTATTTCATGAGACTCGAAATGCACAGGGAGATGGGCTGACCCAACTGTCTGATGTGTCCTAAGATGTGGCGACGAACGTGATGCCAGAACACCTCTGCTGTTGTGATCTGACATTTCTTGTGAAGGAGAATGTTATTCATTAGCTTTTTTCTAATGAGCCAAAAGCTTAAAGACCCAGTGAAATCAAAAGTTTATTAGCTTTGAGATCACCTAACCACCTTTTTTTGCAATGCGGAAGTAAGCTATTTTCTGTGAATGTACGAGATTTCCAATTTATTAGCTGGTTATAACTAATAAAATTTAGTAAACGGTAATAATATTCGCACTACAAACCAGTGTGCTTATGATTATGATAATAAATTAAAATTGAATGATAAATACCAGTTTGCAATATCAAGCAGCATAACGGACTGTTTTTGACAGCTAAAATAACTGGAAGAAGGGGTGACCAACACATCTTCTTTTTTCCGGACATGTCCTGGCTGGGATTTCTAAATTGCCTAAAATGTCTGACATTTATATTCCTTCTCAAACTCCATGATTGGTTGATTGTTGTACACTGCCTGCATGCTATTGGTCAAACTACTTGTTAGTCATTATCTTCAACTAATTTGAAAACAATAGAAAAACAAAACCAAAACCTGCACTGTAAAAAAAAATACGCGGTCATTTTTTACAGTGTGGGCATTTTACAAATCCATCGTTAACAAATATAAACATTTAAAATTGTACAGTCTTTTTGTTATTGGAAAACTTACGCAATTCTGACTACACTTATAAAAATAAAGGTGCTTAAAAGGTTCTTCACAGCGATGCCATAGAAGAACCACTTTTGGTTCCACAAAGAACCATTCAGTCAAAGGTTCTTTAAAGAACCATCTCTTTCTTACCTTTTTATAATCTGAAGAACCTTCTTTTGCCGCAAAGAACCTTTTGTGAAACAGAAAGGTTCTTCAGATGTTAAAGGTTCTTCATGGAAGCATTTAGACAAAAAAAGGTTCTTCTATGGCATCACTGTCAAGCACCTTTATTTTTAAGAGTGTAAGACTGGTTTTATGGCCCAATGATGCTCACCTCACCCCACTGGAAGTCACTTTGAATCAGACACATTTGCCACAAAGAACCTTTTGTGAAACAGAAAGGTTCTTCAGATGTTAAAGGTTATTCATGGAAGCATTTAGACAAAAAAAGGTTCTTCTATGGCATCGTGAAGCACCTTTATTTTTAAGAGTGTAGCAATAACAAATCGTGTTCCTGGCCACCACATAAATTGAAGCATATTGGCTATTTATTAAAAAAGGTGCCTTCGATACGAGCCCCCTGCTCAAATACTGCATATAATACACATAAAAACATATAAACAAACATTTGCATACGGTATATGCTAAGCTAGCAGGCTAATTAGTTAACGGTATGCTAAGCTAGTACACTGTGTAGCCTGCTACACTGTGCAAAACACAAGCTAACTAACTAAAAAAAAAAAGAATTTGTGTATTTTTGCCTTTATTGTGATAGGACAGTATAATGACAGGAAGTGAAGTAGGATGGACCGGGAAAGGTCCGCAAACCAGGACTCGAACTCAGGATGCCCGAAGCACAACAATATGTCGGTGCGCTGACCACGAGGCTATCGGCACAACTTTCTAACATTTAAAATAAATAATGGTTG